AAATAAAATATTTGGGACAGAGGAGATGGAAGAATGAAGAGCAAGATAAAAGAATAGATCAATGATCAAGAGAAGGTGGGTAAATCAAGAGAGGTGGCCTGGACGCAGTCATATTGGGGTTACTCTCCCTCCACGCCCCTCTTATCTTTCCTTATATAAATAACATTAAGTATTATACTAATGTCCTATTGGCCCATAAACAAGATACATAGTTCAAAGAACTAATCTTTAAAGGTCCCTTGATTAAGCCATCCCAATAACTATGGTCTGAAGGACACATATGATCCTAAAGCTAGGGTTGCACTTCATAATATTGTTGGAGTAGAAAATTGAGGAAGAATTGTAGTCAAGGAAGTTGACTCCTCTTTAGCCACCAAACAAGAAACTTCTAGTTAAAAGACAAGGAGTTCTAGAAAATTCAAACGCCCCAACCCAAAAGAGAAACAAAGAGTAGCCAACTTCTTTTTTACAAAACAAAAAGAAATGACAATCAAAAGCATATTAAAAAAAATCTACAGACAAAAATTCCAAAGGGCATCAGAATCACCTGATTTCCACAAACCTTTTTTTCCACTTTTTTCTGGAGAAAGTTTAAACTTTATGAGTGTAGTCATGCCAAACAAAGATACAACATGATAAACTACAAGCCAGGTGCTCTATCAATACATTTATGCAAATCAAGAAACTGCGAATAACACCAAGATAATAGGGAGCAATACCAAGAGAAGAAATGTGTCACCATAGAGGAAACCCAACTGTCGCTGTTTCACCAGCCAAAACATTCGTATTAAAAGGTCAAAAAATAGTGACACCCCAACTGCCGATCCTATACTTGGCAAAAGCTGAAAACTACAAAGTGAGAGAAAAAAGAATGAAGGCAACCCACAAAGCGGGAGCTCAAACTACCAATTGGAAGTGAAAGAAATATGGGTGAAAGAAATCTAGGGGATGCGACACTGATATACGGAACAAAGGAAAAACACGGAGATTTGAGAGAAAAAAAGGGGGAGTGAAAAGTTCAGGAAAACAAGAAGAGTGAGAATTGGGAACAGAGAGAGAATAGAGAAAGAGAGAGAAGTTGAGGAAATATAGAGAGAGATTAAGTCAGAAAGCAAAAGAGAAGAGAGATTTAAGGGAAAAGGAAGGAAAAGAGAATAAGAGAGAAGAAAAAAGGGAATATGTTCCTCGGAACTTAACCTCAGAGCCCAGCTCAACCTGGAAAACCTGTCTACCCTTAAAAAAGAAGAGATCTATTGGTTCTAGAGATCAAAGATAAAGTAGTTAAAAGTGGGTGACCAAAACAGAGCTTTTGCCATCGCATAGCTAACTGTCGAAGAAGGGACAATACTATTGCAATGCTCAAAGTCAACAACAGCTACCTGGCCCAACCAGCACTAATTGAACAAGCCATTATAGAGTTCTTTCAAACTTTATAAACTGATCTTGCTGGCCCCCGGCCAATAATGGCTGACCTTGACTTCTTGGCTCTCCTTGACGACCTAGCTACTTGGCTAGAGCAACCTTTCACTGAAGATGAAATTATACAAGCTCTTAATGCCCTAGCCAATGACAAAGGTCCCGGTCCAGACGGATTCCCAATTGTACCCTTCAAAATCTTCTGAAGCACCTTTCGTTTTCACTTCATGGATTTCCTAGAGGAATTCTTCCATAGGGGAATCATCCACAAAGCAATCAATGCCACCTTCACAGCCTTAGTACCAAAAGTTGAAGAGGCAGAGGAAATCAAGGATTTCCGCCCAATTAGCCTTTTGAACTCGACATACAAAATACTTGCTAAGGTCCTTGCCTCTAGACTTCAACAGGTCCTCCCTTCAGTGATCTCTCCATCTCAATCAGCCTTCATCAAAGATAGACAGATCTTGGATGGGGCATTGGTGGCTAATGAGTGCATTCACACAAGGCATTTAGCCAAAAAACCAAGCTTAATCTTCAAAATAGATTGGGAGAAAGCTTATGACCATGTTGACTGGTCCATCTTGGAACAGTCCATGGTTAGAATGGGGTTCAAGGAGCGATGGCAGAGTTGGATGAGAGGTTGTTTTTGTCATCCCCACATTTCCATTCTCATCAATAGGACACCGAAAGGTTACTTCCCTGCCTCGAGGGAACTTCGACTAGGGGATCCTCTCTCCCCCTTTCGTTTTGCCATTGCAGCAGAAGTATTCATCAGATCTGTTTCCCGTCTCTACCAATCTGGCCTCCTTTCCGGCTTCAAAAGTAGTAATCAGGGCCCAACGGTGCCTCACCTGCAATACGCAAACGACACCATGGTCTTCCTTGATGCTTCACGAAATGAAGCAGCCAATACTCTCAAACGTTTCCTCATGTGCTTTCAGAAAGCAACAGGGTTCAAAGTAAACATGGAGAAATCTAAAATGATGAGAGTAGCCATGACAAATGCAGAGGTAAGAGCCCTCATCCCAGATTGGGAATGTAAAGTGGAAGACCTTCCACTCACATACTTGGGCCTTCCTTTGGGACTGGGGAAACCTAAAACGAGGCTCTGGTCTCAGGTTTTAGACCAAGTTGAGAGACGTCTAGCAGCTTGGAAAGGTAAATATCTTTCCCCAGCAGGAAGAGTTACCCTAATCAAAGACACCATGGCAAATATCCCAGTCAACTTCATGTCCCTATACCAAATGCCAACACAAGTGGCTAACTGCATAGAACAACTTATGCGGAATTTCCTATGGTCTGGACAGGCAGAGAAGACCAAATTCCACCTTGTAGCATGGGAAAACATCTGCTTACCAAGAAAGCAGGGGGGCTAAGGAATTCGGATCATAAGAAAACAAATTACAGCCCTCCTAGGCAAATGGTGGTAGTGCCTAGCTTCTCAACCAGACTCTCTTTGGGCTCAGGTGCTACGATGCAAATACAAAATCCAAGACAGAACATAAGTACCAGAGAGGATCCACAGACACAGAGCATCAGAGGCTTTTGAAATCTTTAGCCTCTTCCTTATCACAGTTCAGAAGACATAAGATTTCACCCAAGAGAAGGACATAGGGTAAAATTCTGGACAGATATATGGCAACGACACTCACCACTGTGCCAAGCATTCCCAACCCTTTACTCACTTGCCTCTAACAAAAACTCAACTATTGCCGAGGAAGTGCCACTTTCAAGTGGACGGAGAGTTTGGAATTCATCGTTCCGAAGAAATCTTTCAGACAAGGAAACCAACCAATTCCAACTACTCTCTACTGCTCTTTCCTCTCGTTTCCTCCCAACAAATGGGAGAGATACTATAGTTTGGAGCCTTTCCCCTTCAAGCCTCTTTATAGCAGCGCCTCCTTCTATAAAAGTCTCACCCAACCCCCCACCTTTCCTCTCAACCCCACCTTAATCTTGTCAAAAGTATAGTCAACCATTGCTCCACCTAAGATTCAGTTCTTCAAGTGGATAGCTTGTTCCCAAAGAGCACTCACAGTGGACCAATTACAAAAACGAGGTATCTCAATCCCTAATATATGCACTCTATGTTTTTGTGAGGAGGAAACCAACCCACACCTCTTTATTCATTGCGAATTTACCCATAAGCTGTGGAGCCAATTGCTACAACTCTTCGGCATCCAATGGCTCACACCACCCACGGTCAGCGCCCTGATTTCTCACAACTTGGAGGATCAGTGGCCTTTAGCTGGAAAAACCTTATGGAACGCTAAAGTGGCTGCTACCATATGGACAATATGGATAAAAAGGAATAACAGAATCTTCAACGGACTTCAACTCCATCCACCAGCTCTCTTTTATAAGGTTATCTCGCTTACCTCTTTTTGGGCCGCCAATCACAAGTTTCTCTCGGGATTATCAAGGAACATCTTCCTTTCCCAATGGAAAAATGTCCTCAACCCTAGGCCACCAAAAATCTCAAGAGCTAGCAATTGGCAACCACCACCAGAGGGCAGCATCAAGCTGAATTTTGGTGGTTGCTCTCTTGGAAATCCAGTCCCGACAGGTGCTGGGGCCATCTTTATAGACTATCAGCGAAATGTCCTCCTCACATACTCCGTGTACCTTGGAATCAATGATTCTCAATACGTAGAAGCAATGGCTTTATTAGTGGGCATTAAAAAATTCGATCCATCTTGGGGCACACATCTGATTGTGGAAGGAGACTCTCAAAACACCATCTCTTGGGCAAGTGGCATGACCTCTCCCCTTGGCAACTGGCAACAATTTTTGATGAAATTACTTACATATGCTGGGATACGAACGCCTCATGGAAGCATACATGGAGGACGTCCAACGAACTCGCAGATCTCATGGCGAAGGAGGGAGCTAGCTTCCAAATGGAAAACCAAGCCAGGTCCCACTCCCGCTCCTTTTTTGTTCAGGACCACAGTTGTACTACATAGCCTGCTTCACACGAGCAACCCACAGCTCCAGTGTTATTTTTTGTAAAACCATTGTAAATCTTAATACCTTGGTGGATCTTATAAGCCTTTTTGTACATGACTGACTGATGGTTTTTTACTGAAAGACACCCATTTTTAGAGGGGGTCTTTCAGTTCCTCACAATTTTGTAACTATTATTGTCTTAGTAATACAATGTTAACAGTTCTCAAAAAAAAAAAATGCACCCCATCGCGAAGGAAGTCAACCACCCAAGGGAGCACAACTCACCAGGAGATCCGATTCACATTGATGATCGGTCTACTGCAGTTGAAAATTAAACGTTTCTTAAGTACGTGTGATAGCTAACCAAAGCAACCCTAAGAAGTAAATTTGAAGCATTCTTCACAAATATTTTCACCCATCAGATGATCAGTGTGTATATATAGCACCTATGGAGAAAAAAAGAAAGTTGCATGTCACGTTTATAGAGAATACTAAAGTTCAACCACAAGAATATGTCCAAGTTATGCCTTATGCCACAACTCAGTGATCCAAGAACTGTTAATTTTAGCAACTTCAGGAATAATCTCGAAGGTTCGGACAAACAAGTTTCATGATGAATCTATGTAGTCACTTGCCTCTCTGAAGTATCCAGCCATGATTGCATTGTACATATTTGCAGTTGGCATCATGTTCATATCTTCCAAATCAGTCAAGAAGTTGTAAGCACCTTCAAACTGCAACCAAAAAGAATATTCCGATAATGCTCGCAATAATTAACAATTATATTTTCTAGAGCGACAAAAATAGGATCAACCATCTAAAAATAATGATACATGGATCACTCATAATAATAAATGCACAGAACCTTTATTCAATTTAAGGATGGAACTTCTACAATTCCAGTGTTCATAAAAATATCAAAGGACTTGTTCATCAAATAAACTGCACAATTCAAGTTTTACCACAAAGTTTCCAAAACAAAGTGAACCAACCACAAATACATTTCTTAAAATGAAAAGCAAGAGAATGTTAGACAAAAACCTAAAACAATCAGTATGGATGAAGAAAGAAAGTATGAATTTAAGATAGGACAGCACAAATATCTAGAGATGAATTCCACATTGTACAAGCCCCTAGGAGCAGGAACTTGTTAGGAACTACAAATGCGAGATCCAAGTTTATAGTCAGTTAAATACTCTCTCTCTCTCTC